CCCTCTAATCTTACACTGCTAAATTAGGGACGGCTAGCGCAGATATCCCTCGTGTAGATTTGCGCGAAATTCAAAACAAACAAAGAAACATGTACAGGGAGCGAAGCTTCTTAAAATTGGATTGAATTAGTTTGATAAGGTTTTCTACTTGGTTCGTGTAAGGGACTAATTTCACTGTGAAAATACTCTGACGCTGCATTGAGATCAAACACTTATTTCACACTCTTCGTTTTTATATTTATTTTCAGTAGCATGCCATATGATAATTATTATGTTGTCGAAACTCAAGAATGTCTCAGATCGATTTCACGTGCTGTTTTAATAACCAGTTTAGAAGTCTCATTTTTACTTAATAATAATATTTTATCTACTAAAAATACCTATTTGACATTTAGATTTTGCCGGGAAATACTTACTCATTCCAAAACTTACCAATGTTTCTTTTGTTTCACATGCTAGATTTCTAATAATAATAATAACAAAACATGGAAATTTCTCGCTGAAAGTGTAAAAGCGGATTGATTAATCTCATTCTTAACGATTAAGTTGTTAAAACCTCTTTATGACATTTTATCATTTCAAGAATATTTCAGACACTGCGCTCCTTTCGAAGAGAGCCCTCAGTGATACAACGGTAAATCGATGGATTCATAACGCTAAAAACCGGGTTTCGATACTTCTGGTGGGCATGGCACAGGTGGCCCATTGCGTAGCTTTGTACTCAGCTACAAATAAACCTTTCATAGTGGAAAACGTTGTTATAACGTCGTGCTACTTCTGTCAATTTTATGTTGCAATAATAAATTAAAACAGACAATCTGGAGATTTCTTAAATTTAAAACTGCGAATCCAATGAGAGTCATTTTTATAATAATAATTTATTTTTATTGTAGAAATAGTTTAATTTTGAACCGAAATATAATATTCCTGAATCTAACTCTAACCATATATGATATTTTTAAGTTGAAACTTTAGAGCTCTCAAATTTTGTATTCTAATATACTTAATTGATGAAAATCAAAAGCAATTTCAGCTCGAAAAATTCAAAAACAGACAAAAGAAGCATTACTTTTTTTTCTAAAATTAAGTGTTGCATCTTATAATGTTTATAAGCCAGCTAGAACAATAACTAACAAATCATTCAAAAATTATTTAACAAACAGACAACTGAATCTTTTTAAAAGATAATTTAATGTCACAACGAACTACTTACACATTATCCATTAGAATACAAAATTAAAAATATTAGTAATTATGAACACTCTAAAAAGTATAAACTTAGGAGGAGACAGAAACGGTTTGATCCTGATCTTAAGCTTCCCAGTAGCTGAAGAGTAAGTGCGAGGGCTTATAACGCTTATAATTGGGAGTTCGATGGACACAATGCTAAAAAACAGAACAATGTGGTCTTAACAAAAACTGAAAGGAAAATTCAACCAAAGCAACTCTTGGTGACAGGTTGTCTTTTAATAAAGTTTTTATTGTGCATTTTCAAGTTCTTCCTGCTTTTATTTATCTCTCTATTTCTATTTCTCTATTTCTCAAATTATATTAACTTATCTTAATTAGGTTAACAAGGTTTTATTGAATATTAAAGTTTAAACAGGAGCTCTATACTCAAGCCTTTATGGGATGATTTAAATTTACCTTGGAAAACGGAGTCTAGGTATTAAACCAAAGTTAAGTTTATGGGTTCTAATCGTCGTAATCTATATATTACTAAAAGTCTGAGATCGTTTGTTTGTGAGATTGTCTGTAATTAAATACAGCAAAAACGGTGCATAATACCGCCATATTTGTAATAAAATGAGAATAGAAATGAGAATAGAAACAGAATAAAATAAGTTTCGTTAAAATCGGGCCACGGGTTACCGAGTTAGCCCGGTTTTTTGGATCACTTTTATGAAAATTTCTAGATGCATTTAGGTACACTAGATGGCGCCACATATGGTTTATCTATCTAGCTATTCGTTCTCCACTGATGAATCACTTTAAAATATCTTCTATGCAACAATATATGCACAACAGAAATTAAATGATGAGATGAAAATGTGTTATAATGGCGCGTAGAAAGAACAACAATAAAATGGACCTACAATATAATTGACTATTTGCAAATAGTAACTATGGAGACTTGTTAATAAAATAAAAATCAAGTCGAGAACAACAACAAAATTTTATAAATGAAAACCTCTCGCCGAGCATTGGCTATTATATTTCTCTGTCAATGTTCCCATCTTCATTAAAAGGCGTAAGATGACAAAAACAAAGATCTTGAAGAATTTTTCTATATACTACTAAAATTTTGAGATTGTTTGTTTGTTTGTTTGTTTGCTTATTTTCTCAGTCAAAAAATCATTCACACTACCGTTTGCGCTTTTTACGAAACTTGATCGGGCTACGGGTTACCGAGTTAGCGCCGTTTTCGGGTCACTTTTATGAAAATTTCAAGCATGAGTAATTTTACATCACACTACCATTCGTGCTCTTTACGAAATTTCTTCGTTCAAATCTATTTCCCTGTTAATGTTCCCATCTTCATTAAAAGGTGTAAGAATTTCTCAGTAATGTGCCTTGGTTATGGGAGGTAATTCGAAGAAAAATAAAGTGTTACTGTTTCTTATTTGTAGAAGGTTCAAGAGGAAAGACTTCAACATAATGAACTAATTCATCACAATGCCTGAAAACTATGATTTCACTTTTTTGAAAAATTAAATGGTCTTTACTCTTACTCCAGATCAACAATCAAATATTTTTTTTGAAGTATGAATAACATGAATGGATTGAAATATTTAATTAAATTATCTCAAAATAAACCTTTATTTCGGTGCAATATTGAAATTAGCTTGAATTCTTCATAACCCCTTAATAGTAGGTGACCCAACGGGTCACGGGTAGTCCAGTTTTAAATAAAAGTTTAGACTTGGACCGTCTAAAGTAACCAATCACGAAAAAAAAATGTATTTGTATGCTATGATAACAAAATAATTTAATTGAAATTTAAATCTAACACAATAAAATCTCGTGACAAGCTGATAAGAGGATGCCTGTGGAAAAGGGTTCATTTCTTTTTTTGTGTGTGGCTGTTCCATTTATTTTCAATTGATTAAAACATATATGAAGGAGTCTGTGTAGCGTTTCCAATGAGTATGTGTTGCTATACACATATGTTTGATTACATGCGCCCATTAACATATATGTATGCTGCCATTACACTTCATCAATAACTCTTATAGTTTATACAGCTTGCTTCTGAAAACTGGGTAAACATTTGGATTACCTCTAGAAGTTACATCAGGTAGCAACGGTAGTATCATCGAGGGTCTATCAAACTCAATCCATTTTTTTTTCAGGTTTCACAAAATAAATATATAGAAAATTTGTGTTAACCAAGACTTTTGGATTAAAAGTCTATTTTCCAATAATAAAGTTTGTGTTGTCACTTGTGTACTCTGAAACACACCCAAAAAGCAGTACTCTCTTATTGACCAAGCACCAGAGTCCTCACTGCTCCACTAGCTTTTGGAGTAATTTCCTCAAAATGTCAGACAACATTCTGCATCAGAAGATCCACTCTATGACTTGGAAAGCAAAGTGTCATGGCACCATTTTGGTTGGTAGTCTTCAGAACGCCACTTTTTAGTCATCAAATGCTTTACCTGAAGATCATCCTAGCTTGAAAGATCAATCAGTCAATTCCATTCCTACTAATCGGGAGGCTGATGTCAGCAACTCCTCATCTGGCTCCTTGAAGACTACCATATAGGTATCAGGTACTTCCTCTACACTATTGTGGAGTTACAATGACTGAAGGTGACATCCTCGCCCTTCCCTAACTCATCGGTCTCCTCTCCATACT